CGTATTATTATTACCACCAGTGCCGCTCTAACCACCAATAATGCCCTAGGGCAACAATATTTGACGCCCCTCTCCCTCCCACAAAAAAATCTAGACTTCACATTTTTAGCTTATAATTAACCACACACCTTAAATATGTTTAATACTTATTAATTAAAGGTTCCTACTTATTTTTTTATTATTATTATTGGAATCATATTTATTTTGTTTCAATGATTTTTTTGAGTTGACACCGATTTTATTATTCCGGGTACATTACAGAAAGAAAATATACAACTATTTTCACAAATTAGTGGATTTTATTATAAATCATACGTTCTGCGTTTCTGCGTGTGGCGTGTATAACAGTCAACATTGTAAATTGTACAAGTGAATATGAGTGAATATAATATACAGAATTTAGTCAAAATACACTAACTCGATTTATTTTAAGAAGTGGGTGAAATTGATAATGAGTTGGTTATAAGTTATAACATAATATACATCTTTGCCTTTGCGTATAATATTTATAGTAGCACAACTCCCCGAAGATGGGGGTTGTTGATCACTGAGACCCATAGACTGCAGGGACCCCCCCAGGCCCCAACCCAACTAATAATTTACTATTTTTATATTTGATAACAAATATCAAAATCACATTATTTTAATGTATTTATGTATGTATTAAATTTCACTGTCAGTATAGATATCTGATGTATTATTGAAATATTATTCTATAAATATAAAATAATGATGACATTTCTCCATATTTTACATGGAAAATTAAAGGAGGATTATTAAACACAACAATTAAAGACCTCGCTTTGTTTATAATTATTAAAAATGGTTTCTGTAATCCATACTGCGATGTTCTTCAATTTGTCGATCAAAAAACCAGAAAAAAATCTTTTTCAAGTGAAAAAAATATTTAATAGGTACTACCAAAGATATAAATTAGTTTAGTTTATAATTATATTACTTAATTATTTTAATGATGTAAATACATATTTAAAATATATTTCATGTAAATAAATATTACTATTGTAGTCTTATAACTTATAAGTATTAATATTTTTATTTGTTTTTATGAATATTGAATATATTATTGAAGGTATGTCGCATTAAGATTCAACACATTATTCACATAATTTTATATTTAATAGTATATAATTTGATAGGTACTCATCTTTGATATTACAGTATAAAAAGAAAAATAATACCTAAAATAAAATCACCAAATTTTTCTTTTATCATTCATTTTTAGTACGCCCCCTAAATTCATAATACTTTAGACGCCCTAGGGCACTTGCCCCATTTGCCCCCCCCCCTTGGGACGGCTATGATTACCACCATATATCGACCTACACAATTTGTATTACTGTTAATACTGTAGTCTTTACTATCTGAACATTAATGCTGCAGGTATTTATTTTGTTGCTAGTGTATAAATGTCATAACATTATTAAAAGTATAAGTGATATACGTATAGTATTAATTATTTTGTATAATATGTCTTTTGTGGTGCCAAAAAACAAGGCAAATAAATAAAACTAAATTTTCTTAATTTTAGGATTTCTTAGCAATAGCATTAAAGATAAATTTGAATTATTAATTATTATGAATTATGTTCGGGTAATGAACCGTAAAAAAAAAGTAACAAACAATATTGAATTAAAATTAATTATATTAATTTTATGTTGTATTATATTTTTGTAGGACGTATTAGATAAAGTTTAATAAATTATTATTTTTTTTTTTTTTTCGTAGGACATGTTAGAATTATCATTCTTACATTTTTTGTTATAAGTATAATAATTTAGATTTGGATATAAAAATTACAATACTCAATTTTATTATTTACTTGTATTAATAATATTGATTATAATATTTAAATTCACGCGGTAATTATTTAAATGTTATCTTATCACACACGTAGATATCGAATTAATGCATGAACAACAGTGGCTCCGCAACAGTAATACTTGCCACCGAAACTATGGCATTTGTAGGCTCGTGCCCTCTACCACCCTCCAGCCTTATCGTTACCAGTCCTGTATATACACAGATATAGATAATATTATCTATATTATTATATAATATTATATATTACTAGCTCTAAGTGTAACTCGGGGCTCGTTGGACTCACTGGGAGTGGGTACCGATTTTGGAGACAATGAATTATAAAAGTCGCAAATGTTGTAAGACGAAAGCTTAGAATTTGTGATAAGGATTAGTGATATGGATTGGAGATAAGGCTAGACGCTTTGGCGGGAATGTTAAAAGTTTGAGCGTCTAGCAATCCGTCACAAACGTTGTAAATGGATAGGCTGGATACGATCTCCAGGATCACCTATATACTATATAGAGTATACCTGCACATAGAGTGGTATGTGCCGTAGCATGACCGGTGCTTTATCTTATGTAAAAAGTGTAAAGTCGAAAACCGTGTTGGAGTTTCTAGCAAGTCAGTCATCTCAAGACAAAATCTATTAACTTTCAAGTTAGCCACTTAGGTAGGCAATCCGACTTCGTCGGATCACGGACAACGTGCTACAAAAAATCAGGTAGGCAATCCACCGCAGGTGGATTGCAGACCCGATGTCAAGCGGCTATAAGTGAAAACCCTATCACACAACTTACGAAATAATTTACGAAAAATTCAAACTATATACAATATACATACAAACAAATATGATATGTATTTATTGTGTGATATAATATAACAATGAACACTTTGAGAAAAGTGCAATTATAATTCCTAAAAAAAATTAACATATATAGGTAGATAGTTAGATACATACCTACTATTATATTAACCAATACAATAAGTACATATAAACACTACCTATAATGTATATATATTAATTTTAAAAAAAAAATGCAAAAACCTGCATGTTAAACTGTTAAAGTGTCTGTCAAGTCAATCATCACCGTTTAAGACGAAACTAAAATGAGCAATCCGTCTATCACCTATATATAGTAGGTATATCACATAGAGTGGTATGTGGCTTCGCATGTCCGGTGCCATTCCTTATGTAAAAAGTGTAAAGTCGACAACCGTGTTGGAGTGTCTAGCAAGTCAGTCATCTCAAGTCAAAATCGATTAACTTTCAATTTAGCCACCTAGGTAGGCAATCCGAAATAAAATACAACTATATTTATATAACAATCATGGACTTTTTGAAAAAATATGCAATTATAATAATTCCTAACAAAACAAATATAATATGTACCTATTTATTGTATGATATAATATGACAATGACTTTAAATAATAATAATGTACGATATGTTCCTGTATTATTATATTATTATTTAATTTATATTAAAAATAACGTGAAAAAAAAATGCAAAAAAAATCCGGTTCCGGGCGGCCGTGTAGACCTTATGGCAATGCCAGATTCGGCGCTCGGGCAGCGTACGACGGATTCGAACCCGGGACCTACGTGTTTCTACCTAACGCCTAACCTACTTGGACACAGTTTTGAGATGTGAAATATGATCAAAACATCAACACTTAAGCCGTGCGTCTACGGAGCGACGTAAACCGATATATTCGATGTACATCGATGTAATCGCATATAATTCGCTTGTAATACGCGCATCTCCCATATATATATTTAACGGGGCGTGTGAAAAGCGTTTTTCGTTAATAATTATTAAATCATAGGGAAAAATTAAATTATACATGTATATATACGGTCGGTCGGTCGCCGGCGTAATTTATAAACGCGATTGCGAGGCGAACGAACCGATTTCGGGGGAAAAGCCCATATAAACGGATTTAAAAAGACGTCGACTACACGATTCGGGCACAAACGGCGTGTGAATAGACGAAACGGTGGGAGAAAAGGAAAAAATCGGCAAAAAAGTCCAGTCGGGAGTGTATTTTTCGATCGACATTGCGACCGCTTCGAACGGCGCACGAATATAAACCACACACCGGCGGCTTCGAATTAAGTATAAAAAAGGACGGAAAGGGTCGAAATCGTGTAAAAACAGCTAATTTTCCGAAAATTTCAAAAATCGGCGAAATGATAGGAAAAGAGGTGATAACGAAAAACGTTTAAAAACCGACTGCCGCCGCTGCGAAGGTACGCGATTGGTCGCGCTATAAGGAATCGACGGGACATGGCCGGCGGGCTGGGGAAACGGAGCGGTGCTTCATTTTTTACTCCACGGTTTCACAATAACTGCGTTTTCCGTTCCACGGGTTGCTTGTAGACAGCTGATTTCCTTGTCATTTTATATATTAGGATTAAGGAAGGACTAGGATTAAGGATTATTATCTATATCTGTGTGTATATATTAGTCCCATAGATAATATAAGAATGGATAGGACATAAGAACTTATCACCTGAAAATTTAGTGATACTATTTTTAAGGTTATATAAGGCAAATATTGATATGATAATTGATAAATATTAATAAATAAAATTTATATAATTTCATTTTGTTAAAATATTATTTTCCAATTTCCATTTTCCAGGCACAGGTGGCACAACAATCAAAATACAAACTGACAAATATCTAAATATAACTGATTATCATGTTATTATTATTATTATTTAATAAAATAGTTTTGCACATAACCTTAAAAAGCCTCATATAGTCTTTCTCTCTTTACGTTCTCTCTTCCCCAAAAAAGCACACGGCCTCATATGGAACTGGTATAGGCATGTCCTATCCATTCTTATATTATCTATGATTAGTCCGTGATGATATCACAGAATAGATGAAATCTCGCTGTTATCAAAATCGGGAAATCTGTCTCGGCCCCAAAATTGCGATTTTAATACATTTTCATAATATCTATAATGTTCTGTGATAATATTTGTGTACTGTGATTAGTGTAATAACAGTATTTGACAATAAGTTGGTATATTATTGTCCAGATTAGAAAATACTCATTATTGTACCTGTTATAAATAAATCGTAGGTATTCGTTTTTAACTTTGTAAATATTTATAATAATTATTGTAGTTACTAAGAATCCAAAATTCTGTCTTGTGCACCATTACAATGCCTGAGAATTATAGCTGTGATCATTGTGAAAAAACATTCACGAATCGTCGACACTATGATCTGCACGTTGACGGTCATTTGCGCAACATTTGTCGAGTTTGCGGATCATCATGCAACAGCCGCAAGATGTTGGTCGCTCATATGTCTACAGTCCATGGATCCAAATTGGAACCAATTGTGTTGAATTGTAAGTACTGTATGAAAACGTTTGTTCAAAAACGTTCGTTGCACTTGCATTACAAGACCGTGCACAAAAACACGGGTACTATATGTCTTGATTGCGGACAGCCGTTTGACAGCAAACAAGAACTTGCTGATCATGTAAAAACAATTAAGCACGGCGATGGTTTCATATGCCATAAGTGTGGAGAAGTATTCACCCGAAACCAACAATATAAATTACATTTACAAGTAAGACTTTCTATCACTGGACATTTTTATGTTGATGAATTAACTATTTTACCACAACCATTTATAGAGGCACGATGCATACTGTTGTTTCAATTGCAATGCACAATTTGCAAATTCTAAAAAGTTGAACAAACATTTGAAATTGTGTGTTTCAATACCACCGACCGACAACTATTCAAAAAATAAACAGTCAACCACAGGTATAACTAAAATTCACTTTTGGTAATAATTTATTTATATATCCTACTAAAGTACCTACTGAACGACAATGTTGATAATATTATATTTTTAATAATATATTATGTATTATACTGAAGCTTAAGTAACAATTATCTATGTTCAGTTTTCTTTTATTTATTCATAGTTGAAAACTAAAAGCTATAAATAAATAATTATAATTAAATCATAGATTTCAATATAACAATAATAGCTTAAGACAGTTATGCCAAATAGGATTTGTATCTATACTTGAAAATATAGTATTTTGTGTAAAAAAAAGTGTATTCCCCCAGGACAAATTCCTAATCACGCTACTGAAGTTGACCTATTATCAAACTTATAGGATTATCTTTAACTAACTTTATTTATATTTGTCAAAGGCTTTTTTTCATACAATTTCAATTTTAATTGAAATATCATAAAAAAAAAACCAATGTGCTAATACCGATAATGTTCTTAACTTAAAGTTTGATTATGGGTCATGATTTTAATATTTAAGCTAACAAGTAACAACCCCAGATTCGTTCTACTGGACGCATTTCTAATCTGCAATGTTCCTTCTGGGTTTAGATAGAGAAAACAAATAGTATGTTGCTATCCGATTGACAAGTGTATTAATTAAACAACAGATTGACTTGACATAGTCTGTCTTTATTTTATTAATACATAGATAAATTTACTATACTTTTTATCATGGTTTAGATTGAATCTTAATATTGAAAACTTATCAAAAATAATTATTTTTTATGATTTAATTAGTTTAATTTTAAATTAACTTTTTTAATTGAATTTGTTTGCTTTAAGGTGTTGTATATGAATGCATTGAGTGCAAAAAGTCGTTTGAGAAAAAAAAATATTATAAACGCCATATGAAAACAGTCGTTCACTCAGGTAATAAAGTCGATAATCCATTTTATTGTGCCCATTGTCCAAAGATATTTTATTATAAATTTAATTTATCATCACACATGAAACAAGTTCATTTTAAACAGTACAATAATTATATTTGTAACTTGTGCGGGCGGAGTTTTCAGTATGCAAACAATTACAAAAGGCACAAAGATTCTCATATGCAAGTCAGAAACTATGTTTGTGAACATTGTGGTGCTTGTTTTTATCGAAAACACGCTTTGCAAGATCACCAAGTTGCTATACATAATGAAGAAAAGAATTTTGTTTGCAATGTATGTGGTGATAATTTTAAATTAAAATCAATTTTAATAAGGCATATGGAAAATCATTCTGAAACCAAAAAATATGTGTGTCATTGCAAACGTATATTTAAATTTGCATCCAATTTACGACGTCACCAAGTCAACATCCATAATCAAGTATATACTGAATCTGTTAAAGTAAAACGCTTTGTAGAAGATAATAGCCGTTCATCTCCATCGGCGGTCATGAACGAAGAAAAAGAAATACAAAGATTGAAACAAAAAAATATCAACCCCCTTCGATTTGAAGACAGTGTATCATATTCATTGATGGCATATCATGATAACTTAGATTTAAGTAGTGTGGATATAGCAGAGAGTGTACTTCAAGTAGCCTCTTCTTCAAATTACAAGATAGAATGTGAAGATAATTCATGTTTTCCTGGAATTCATCCTCCTATTGAAACATCTCTAGTATGCAGTTTAAATGATGGTGTAGATTTGTCTCCTAATTCTTCACAGCAATACTTATCTGATTATGTTGTTCCACATCAGTTTCCATTTTTGAATATTTGAAGTATTTCAATGTTAAAAAATTGCATTTAGGGATGTTTATTAATGATAAAACAAATTTTTTGTGATGCAAAAAGATTATTGTACAAAATGTTACCAATATTAGGGTGTTAAACTAAGATGTACTTTCTATAGTCTACTTGACTTCTTATGCTTAATATCTTACTAATTTGGTTTTATATGAATTATATTCTTTAGGTATTATAAAAATAAGTGATGCTGAAGTGTTTAAAATATACTATATATACTATTATAATAGTCTATGACATTGTATATTTAGGGGCCCCTCACCACCCTACTCTTACTACAATATTATATACTTATTGACCAGGGTCGTTATAGTCATAATTTATACATTACATATTGGATTATAAAAGAACTATATTTTCCATAAGGTTTGTGTTAGTGCGGTCTTCTAGGAAGATATCTTGTGGTAGGCGCAGTTTTAGCCTAAAATTATGTTATTTCTCCAAATTTTGAAATGGGTAGCCTCTTCGGTTTGCTCTTGATTATTGTGAATGTTTTTGAATATAAAGAGTTAAGTACATAATAGTATTACAGATATAATAATTTACAAAATGTAAATTTTTTTTGCTATCCCAAAATTATTAATGATGCCCATAATTGTTAAATCCTATCTATATTATCTTCTGTAGGCTACAACTTCTCCAACACCACTTTCCTCAACTCTCAAGTCTACTGTAAAATTCACAATAAAACTCCACAAAAAATAATATAATTCTGCTTTTCTTACATTATTAAAGATAATAAACTTGTGTCATTTATTGTTCTGCTATAATATTTCATAAATATAGGCTAGTAAAATAAAAATAAAAAAAATTAGCAAAAGAAATACTGACGGACTATTTCTTAACATCGGAAAATGCAAGGTAATGTCCTTTTATCGGACGCGAGATGTTCTTAATTTTGCTTACTGCCTAGACGGTCAGCCTCTTTTGAGAGTGGACAAGATAAAAGATTTAGGCTTTCTTTGTGTTCCTCTCTATACTCTATTCAAAATAAGACCATGACCGGGCGGCCGAGTTGTGCGCATCGCCGCCGGACGAAAACTGGTCGCCGCCTGGTCACGGTCTTATTTTGAATAGAGTATAGATTTTCGACCACATATCAATTTCATCGCATGCAAGGCACTCCGTGTAATTGGGTTCATTAGACTTCACTGCCAGAACTTAAGCTCTAAGAAATGTCCTCTCTCTTTATATAACGCGCTAGTCAAGTCCTTACTTGAGTATGGCTCAATTGTATGGTCCTCACATACCAAAAAAGATATTATACTTGATAAAGTCTAAAATTGTTTTCTTGGCTTCGCAGGTCATTGTCTTAATATTACTCACCCTCCTCACAATTATGGGCCTATTAATGCAATACTCAAACTGGAACCACTATCAGAGGGTCGTAATAAATTGTGTATTAACATTACTACCAAATTATTAGAAGGGCTCATTGACGTCCCCCGTCTACTAGAACAACTCTGCATTCATGTTCCTGGCAATACTAGGTCACAAGATTATTTTTACCCGCCAATATGCAAAACGAATTATGCTAAAAATTCCCCAATAATAAGAATGATGTCCAATACCAATAATAGTAAATCTCTAGTACCAAGGCCACATTAATGTTTGTATAATTATATTGTTACTTTGCTACTTTACTATTACTATCATTAATTTACTATATTTTGTTCATATATTATATACATATAATATATCCTATTATATATCTTGTTTGTAAAAAAGCCGGAAGGCGTTAATTCATATAAATAAATAAATACCAATTGTAAAACCAACCCTGCTTTGTTTAGAATCTAAAATCTAAAAAACTGTTAACTTCTTTATGAGGGATATTTTGAGCTTATTTTTCAAATTAACAAAATAAATATCAAGAAATAAAATATTATATTTTGGAAACATAAAACGGCATATAGTAACAAGTATACAAATAAAGACTGAATATTGTTTATCACCTTAAAAACTGAATTATTATTGTATTGAATTAGTGAATTGTGTTAGATTAAAAAAAAAATGTTAGTAAATTAATTAACAAGATTCTTTTAACATACATTTACATTTAAATGTATTATTTTGTTTTACATAAAAGAGAACCATTATTTTATAAGAATCTGTGTTCTTTAGTTAAGACTTGTATGTATTAATTTTAGTCAGTGGTCTCCAACGGCTTCAACTATGTTTCAGCTGAGAACTTGTGCGCTACATATTAAAGATATATTGACATATTGTATATATTTTAATATTATGTTATTGTTAAATAATTGTATACCTAAGCTAAACGTTTATCAAAATGAGTGTGCAAACCCCTGTTGGTAATTTCAAATCTTATATAATAAATTATAATTTTATAAGTTCAATGAACAGTTAACTATACTAAATCAATACTCATTTTGATAAGTGTACAATTTTAATTTTTCAACCAAAATTCAATAAAATTGAAGCCAACAAATTTTAAATAAAATTGTCTTTTGTCAAGGAGTTGATTATTTTATGTTATTTTAAGAGAAGTAAAGTGATAAAAATATAATAAATCACATGGTTTGTGTATGATTGAAACTTGGAACCTACCTATAGGCTATGACATAATAAATAATATTATGTTTTATAAAATATGAATACAATTGAGGCATTTGGCCACGTACAATGTTTAATATTTAAGTTCTATTGTGTCTATCTTTCTGATTGGACGAACCAACTGGTGACTGCGTCTCTCCCATCGTTTTTAAAATCAATAGTCTCTCCTAAATAAAACACATTATTACCATCTATAATTTAATATATCTGTTATCCTTATGCTTTCAAAATTACCTATTCAATATTCTGCAATGTTTAGTATTATTGATTGATGAATGATGATGTATAATATACTATTATCTAAAGATTTGCTATACACTGTGGTCTGTAGATTGTACGGTTTTAGATATATCTACAATCGCTTTAGTGATATTTAGATTTACAACTTATATAAAATAACCCCTCCAACTTAAATAAATACTATTAGTAAATATTAAGTAACAACAGTCACTACCAAGCCAGTACAAAGACCCAGAGGAATATATTATGATTTATGGTAATATTGTGCATAGGAAAAATCAAAAACCACGGGAGAAATAAACATTTATTATTTGGAAGGAGATCGAGGAACCTGAAATTACGCTACTGAGTAGGTTCTGAGTAATATTGTAAGGAACTGTAATACGATATATCGAAATATTATTAATTATTATATTGACATATTGATAGCTTATAAGAATAGGTATCTATTGTTATAGCTCACGTACGTTTCCCCAGCCCCCCACATATCAATTTTCCCAAATTTTCTTTTTCCAACATTTAGTACGTCATTTGTTTGTATTTGTTTGACCAAACACAGAATTTGTTTGATGTCGGTTCCACTTGGAAAATCGGTTTTCCGTGCGGGGGGCTGCAGAAACGTTTCCCCAGCCCCCCACATAAGAAATAATGGACTTTCAGTGAATTTTTTTTTACCAATTGTTAGTACGTTATTTGTATGAATTTGTTTGACATGAACCAGAATTTGTTCGACATCGGATACCCCGGAAAATACGATTTTCCCGTGTGGGGGCTGCAGAAACGTTTCCCCAGCCCCCCACATAAGAAATAATGGACTTTCAGCGAATTTTTTTTTACCAATTATTAGTACTTTATTTGTTTGACCAAATTCACTATTCAGAATTTGTTTGATGTCAGCATGCCCCGGAAAATCAATTTTTAAAAACAGTATTTATATAATATCGATATATCTATATTATATTGTTGAAACCTGATAAAAATTAACACAATTTTTACACGTACAATATAAAAAAAAATTTTTATTTTTTTTATAGTAAAAATAAAAAATTTAAATTTGATTAAATTTTTATTGGAAAAAATCAAAATAGTCAACTTGTAAATTTGATTAAAAGAAAAATTTTGATGATAAAAACATTTATCTAAATCAATTAGTTTATTTTTTAGAATTTTTTAAAAATATCAATATTTTTTTGCATAAATTAATTTGGAGCGTTATAACTTCTTTCAAATATTATTTTCCATATTATTTCTGAAATGAGTATATTTTTTAAATTAGTTATTAGTTATATAATTTTCACAATTTTTGTTGTACGTTTAAGTAGCATCATTTTTTATTTTTTTTTTAGTTAATTTTTGCAAAAAATATTGATATTTAAAAAAATTCTAAAAAATATTCTAATTGACTTAGATAAATATTTTTATCATCAAAATTTTTCTTTTAATCAAATTTACAAACTGGCTATTTTGATTTTTCCAATAAAAATTTAATCAAATTTAAATTTTTTATTTTTACTATAAAAAAAATAAAATTTTTTTTTTATATTGTACGTGTAGCGCAAGGATCTTTTAATAATAAACCAAAAAAATAAATTTTTAAAAATATTAATTAGAACTAAAGTTATTCTAAAAGTCAGTTCTTTCAGTTACACCCTGTATACATATATATATATATTTTTTTTTTATACACAATATTAATTAAGTACTTACTCACATTCAAAATACCATAGTAGGTATATGCGTAATATACATAATAAATGTCTTAATGTAATTTACATATTATAAAGTTTGCTACAAGTATTAGCCTACTTATTGTATTTAAAAAATACTATGTATCTACATGTAAGATAAGTATTGCAGGATTTAAATTATATACCATACCTTTTTTAAAGGATTAAAAATAATTAAATTTATTTGAATTCATGTGATGATGCGCATATATCAGGATTTTTAAGCGCATAAATATTTCGGTAGTTTTTAGTGCATTAACTTCCGAGCCCTAATAAATAACCTAAATAGCCTAACCCAAATAGCTGAATAAAAGTTGAAATATTTTTAAAAATTAACTGTATATAGATAACACTAATATAAACATTTGGTGAAAATTTCAAGTATTTACAGTGATTAGTTTTTGAGTACAACCGTATAAAAAAATCTATTTGG